ACATTACTTCATTCCCCAAACTGACAGCTTAGCTAATATATAAATTTTAGTTGTGACTCTTGCTGCATTTGAGAGCTAAAAAAGAATCCCAACCAATTGAAGCTATTTAACTTATAGGAGATTGGAAAGACATAGCATTATATTTATGGTATGGCATGGCATGGCATGGTAAGGTATGGTGATATGTATTCTGCACACATCCATCAATAAACAAACCAAAATGCATCATTTATAAACAAACAAAGATTGAATAAGACTGAGATATCTATGGAGATTCTCAGTCATCAAGATCATGGTTGTCCCAAAGGTGCTTTTTTCAAAAGGCAACTGGACTCTGTTTTAACTTGAAGGAAAAACAAAATTCAGTTGTCTTTTGAAAAAGCACCTCTGGGATAAGACTGAAGTATTAACAGCCTTGGGAAAACTCCCAGTATTTTTAAAACAACAGTTTAAAAAGTTAGAAAAAAGAGGAAGTGAGGAAACTGTGAAGATACAGCACGTGAAGCGAATATAAAATACTGTTTTATGGGAAGATGACAAAAATGGAAAGGGGGAAGGAGAAATCCTGAAAAAGGCCATGCAGTTAGTCTGGAACCTACTGCAACATTTTGTTGTAGATCCCACTTCTCTTGAATTTCTGACTCGGCTCTTTTTGCTCACACTTCTTGCTGAAGAGCTAAAGTTAGTTAAAGAAAGGGAAGTCTACTTCAGATTCTTGCAATTCTTTTAGACCAGACATGTCAAACTTGCAATGTCACGTGATGTTGCACGATGTATCTGAGCTTTTCCCCCATTGCCGGCAAAGGAGTGGGCACGGTTTCGTTGTGACATGTCCAGCCCGTGGGCCGGCAGTTTGACACCCCTGTTTTAGACCATTGTTGTCTATAGCAGATATAATTATCTCAGGTTAAGCAGGTATTCAAAGAAAATGCAAAGGAAATATATTAAAACACACATGTGCATACATGTACACACACACAATATTTGATGGTGCGTGCACTTATAATTTTTCATGTTTGCTTGGGGGTATGCCCCACTAAATACAGCAGAATTTAGTTCTGATTTAATAGTCACAAGATTACAGTTTGAGCTTCTTAAAGCAACCTTTATTCATATGGTATTTGCAGGGAAGACTTTTATCATGCATTGATGTTCCTTCATTTCCATTTGTGAAATTCTGCAAAAGGGAAGTTATCCAGACACCATCATTTTCACTATAAGCATAATTTTCCCATATTTTTCTACAACATTTCTTCCATCTTTTTTCTTATGAAAGAAAAGAAAGATGGAACAATCCCACACAAGCTTTTGATTGTAGGGGACATCTGCCTGGAAGTACCCTTTTTCTCATATACACACAAATCCTTTTTCATTTGTATTTCAGTTTTACTAAGTGCTGTCATTTTCATTCAAATATAAAGTTCAATACACAGTTTACAGTGTCCTGTTTCAACAAACTTGAGTTTATATTACTTTAAAATTGAGATGAAAATAGATTCCTTAAAGGGGGTAAAAACCCCAAAGGCTACCTAAATAAGTATGCCAGGTTTTTTTGCTAAAAAAAAACCACTCTGAAAACTTTGCACTTTTGTCCAAAGACCCATTCCTTACAGTTTGAAGATATATAATATGTAGCTTCTGCCCTAGGTATCTAAAGGGATTACTAGAAATCCAAAAATATGGAAGAATTATCGGTGTTTTTTGAAAATCAAATAATCATATTTGCAAATAATCTCTTAAGTACATTCTGGTCAGATGATCTATCTAGGCTCAAAGGATGAAGTCTACATGAGTTCCACAAATACTTGCTGGTTCTACTCACCAGCTATAAACACCAGCTAATTAATGGGAGATCCTCACTAGGGTTGGAACAAGTTGACCAGCATGAAAGAGACATGCACAAACATGGCCCAAGAAATCATACAACTGTTCTCTCATTACAAGAGGCCTTCCTACAGGCCTCCTCTAAGGAGTACTGCGGGTCTGTAGATGAGTCAGACATAGTCATGCCTTTGTGTTGAAGACTTGTTGAATGCGTTAGGAAATATGTAGTGACTGGTAACTGCTACTTCACAGTGTGAAAACTGTCCTTTTGAACATTATGAATTGGGACTATGCGTGCTTTGAAAATGAGCCACAGAAGTGTTTCAAATCTGCAAGTTCTGCTCATCTCTGCCATGGTTTTTTCTTCCTCTTCTTCCTCCGCCTTTTTTTATATTGCTAAGCTTCTACAAACTGCTTTAAAGATCACATCAATCATTAATGCATTAAAGCACCTGTACTTTTTTTTTTTTTTTTTAGAAAAGGCATGGCTGCTGGAATTGTCACAGAGAGAAACCAAATTCATGCAAGGTGCTAAAAAGCATTTCTGTATAAATTTGAAAGTATCCACGGCTATAATTGCTTTCTGAATTAGATGGTTGGTTGTTTGATCAATATAATTTCAGTTTCTAGGGCTACCCATTCATAAACTCTCATCCCTCAGTGGGGACAGGAAATAGATCCCCAGTCTTGAACCAGTGTGATCATTTACCAGGTATATCAATCAATGTGGATAATTCTAAGACTGTAATCTTCAAATCCATCTAGATTTCCATTTTTCAAAACAGCTAAATTTTTAAATGCTGGCTAGTTGGCAAAACTATCTCTGGAATTTGTAAAATGCTTGTTGTTCATGAGTACCAAACAATTTCAATTCATCCAGAAGAAAAATCAGAACTAGCTCCCAAATAGGGTAAGTAGAATCACTTAACACCATCAATATGTTCATAAATGCTACAACTATTACCACAAACTAGCCTCTTACTTTGAAAGATTGATGTCTACAGATTTGATTTTAAGAAAAGAAAAATATACTGTAGGATCTGCTTGCATAGCCAATTCCATCTATTTTATGTACCGTATTAACTTACATACTCACAGTGCCACATTTTTATGTTTCTTACAAAGGTTCTGAATGACTATCAGAAAAAAAAATCATAAAAAGAATACCTCAATAAAAATACTACACCCCTCCCCAATTCAACATTTTACTCAGCCATGTACCTGTCATTTTGAAAACATAAAGGGGAAGTTGGTGGTTAGGAAACAGCAATGACTGGGAGTCTTTGCAAATCAAGATGAAGTTCTGTAAAAACCCTAAGACTTTCTGTCAGATAACTCCTAAGTATATTTGTGCTGCAAAACAGGTTTCTTTTACTAATTCCATACTTTGCTTTTTAGAATGCTGTAGGGAGGAGATTGGTAATAACCTAATACCAAAAGCAAAATCCAGGGACACTTGAATCAATTCACTGATGTTATGATTCCAGTCTTTATCTCTGAGTTCTCAAGATTAAGTGAATTATCCATTGTGTGCTTTAATGACTCTTTGCAAGGACTGTATTTAAAATGTTAGCAAAATGGTTGATCTTTTGTTCTACATTCATTTTTGCTTCTTACTCCAAGTCACTGACTTCATGCAAAACTTATAGATATACAGTATTGAAGCAAAGTAGAGCACGTGATTGATTCTAATCGTCTACTCCAAAATGTTACTTTTCATTCATTTGTGATGAGGGGCCAAACCAAAGGCTTGTGCCTATGATACTGGAAGGTCCAGGCAATGGGTTTCCCAAGGGCACTCAAGAATCGAGGCTGCTGAAGGATGCCAACTTGGTTAAATGACAAACTACTGTGTGCCCAAAGTTCATATCTACTGCCTTTCAATTGCACAGTGGTCTTTATTCGATGCTTCTTTGCTCCTAGGACACTATACCACTAAATCTATGCTTACAATTACAAAATACTTGCAAGAGGAAATCAAACAAAATCTCTTCCTCATTAAAGCCCTTGGTTTTCAAGAAAGATCCCCATCTAGGGTAAATTGGAACTGGGTGGTAATAGTGGTGGAAACTTTTCATCAAGACTATAATATGGAGGAAAGATGCTGAAAACCTTTTTTTCCTATCTGATATGCCACAATTTAAGTCTTGGTCATTTTCTTCTTGCCCACGCAATAGGTGCTACCTTAAATCTACCCACCCGAAATCATGAGTACATGCAAACACATACAAACAAGAGAAGCATAGGTTTGCATCTGAATTTTCAGAATTGTGATGAGAAAATATAATTTTTTTCTGCATTTAAATCAATGCTACTAGGGAAGACATTCACACACATACTTTAAAAAAAGGCCAAGACTCCAGTGGGACTGTAACATCATGAGCATCTTCATAGTCATTGCATTTTCTGACATCCAAGGCGGACATCAAGAATTTGAAAGTCTTAAGATTTGTAGCTGTATTAACTTCCACTATGCTATAAGATGCATAGCCTCTCTGCGTCTTATAACCATTAATATAAGACTCAGGCTAGGCATCAGGTTTTTAAAAAATAGATCTCCCACAGTTGGTGTGAGGAGCAAGAGGGGTACTACCGTGAGGAGTACATAACATTATCTTTTAGCCAAAATGTCAACACTACAGCTACAGTACTCCCTGTTGCTTTCCCATCAGCCCATTGTAGTTTGCATAGTATGGAGTCTAGCTCAGAGAAAAATGGTATCAGGGGGAATGGGCTGGTTCATTTCCCAGCTCCCATACAATTCGGATGACTGAGGTTTAAACATACGGTGTCTGCTGCTGTGATATCTAATTTGCTCCTAAAAGTCAGAATTTAATATTTAAGACCATGTGGATTCATATGAAACACAATTTAGCCAATCATATCTTTGCCTAACTTGTTGTACGAACCCAAACCAAGTGGTTAATGTGTGGGTCGTGTGTACCCAGGAAATTGGGTTAACTGATTAAGTTACCCATAAGAGTGTCTTGCAAACTCAACTACAGTCAAGAAGGCCAATGTAGCAAAGAAGCTGGACCCTGGATCCCACATTGTTTACCTGATATACCTCTGGATTTGTCATTCCCTCTTTCTTCTAAAGAGTCTCATTTTAGCTACTTTAAAGGGAAAAAGAAACAGAAGAAAAAGGGATTAACAAGTAAGCTGAACTTCCCTACCTTTGGGTCTCTCCTTCGGCACCTTCCTGTTCCCCGATTTCACCCTCAAGGTCTCTCAAACATTGTTGCTCCTCAGCCATTTTCTTTGCTGGTTTAAGATTGTGAGTTGAGTCACTTTTCTCTCCAAACTGTTTTGTAAGAATGATAAGAGTGCAGTTGTTCTCTCACCACTCTTCCTGTATTGACTCTAAAGCCAGATGCACCGGAAACCATGTGGGACTGGGGGGGTGTGAGTTTACTTTTTAATCAGAAAGAATCATTCTTTTTTTAAAAAAAGAAAAAAGTCTTAAAAGAAAAGAACTGATCCCTCCCCTCCCTCCCCCCCAAAAAAATCTCAAGTACTAATGCAGGCCATAAGGGGAACAAAGCATAATTGCAGCTCACAGAGCAATCTTGGTGTTTAAGTCAAACTCACAAAGCAGCAGCAGCAGCACATCTGTACTTGCAAACTTTAGATACCTCACATTCTTCTTTCCAACCTTATCTGTGTTTTGTCTGTATAAGGATCCTTAGAGCAAATAACAGGGTTGGAAGACTGGGCAATTGCAACACAACTTCAAGTATCTACAAGCTGCATATTTGAAGGGATGGAAGGAATAAGAAATCCACAGTCTTGCAAAAGAAAAAAAGAAAAACAAACCTAACCAGAGGGGCCATGTATAGGACAACAAGAGATACTGTTCAAGTTAATTGGGGGGGGGGGGGTTAAAGGTTTAATCAGTATTAAGCAACCGTAACTACATATGATGCATCTAACCACATGAAAAGTCCTTTTCTGCCAATCAGCCAAGTGACTTCCTTAAAAGGATAGGTAATTTCAAATTTCCTGAGACGTCATTGCATGGTTAACTGTTTGGTTTTATTTTAGTGTTTTTACTTTTAGAAGAAGACACGGGTGAGACGAGCCATTTCAGAAGATTAAAAAATGGAATGAGTGTCGCAAAAAAAAAAAAATATGCTGACTCAAGTGAAAGAACAGAGGACTCCCATGTACTAGTTTACTCCAGACAGCAAAATATATTGGATTAGCCCACTTAAATATGTCATTTCCCACCAATTGATCCAGACAGATTTTTTTCAGAGAAGAGAGTGAACCAATTTTATTAGAAAAGTGTAACTTTTATTTTAATCCTACTGACCTGGTACCTGTAGAACCTTTCACGTGTATCCAGAATGCCACATTCATACATTTCTAGGCATCAAAAACATTCAGGGCCCCTAAACAGAACACACACACACACACACACATATACAGAGAGAGAGAGAGAGAGAGAGAGAGAGAGAGAGAGAGAGAGAGAGAGAGAGAGAGAGAGAGAGATCATCTTCTTATTCCTACTGAAAAAAAAAGAGCAATTTGACACTTTCTGGATTCTGATCCCCTATTTCATTGTTCTCCAGAACTTATAGTAAATGCATTGCCAGATACTGGTCACAGCTGAATTTCAGCTTTATGCTTGCTCCCTTCTAAAATAATCCTATCCTATGAATTTAACCCATGAGCAATAGTGTTAAATCTTAAAATGGGTTTTCTTCTTTCTTTTCTCCCAACTCACAAGAAACGTGTGCATGTATAATATTAATAAAAGAGAATATTTGTAGGTCAGAGGTGAACTATGGGGGTCTTTGATGCTCTCTGAGCTGTTTGTTTGCTTCCAGATTTTCATCACTCAACTAGCTAACATCTTCAGTGTGCAATGTAACAAGAAAAAACCAAGCTCAGAGAGCACCAAAGATTCCACATATATAGCATTCTTTTCATAGGACTTTATTCCAAAATCTGCTAAAATGAACTGTAGGCAATAATAAAACTGTTGGGTTTGTTCTTTTTATCAGAAATAAATCCTATTAATAAGTTCAGCGAGATCTACATCCTTTTGGGAAACTGTGCATAGAATTGCTGTCTTATATTATTAAAAATTATGGCCTTAATACTTTCTATTCTCCTTGTGTGAACCTATACATAGATTGCTTCTGTTTAATTGAAAAAAGCCACAAAAATGTTTCTTGTACTTTAAACAAATTCTCCAATTTTTCAAACTAGAATCGTGGTTTGCTCCATAAGTATGGGCATGTCTGTCAAATCATTTTACTCTCATTAGGAATTATTAACCTTTCTGACCAAAGGCAAGAAGCAACAAGACAAGAAGCAACAGATGGAAACTAATCAAGGAGATAAGCAACCTAGAACTAAGGAGAAATTTCCTGACAGTCAGAACAATTAACCAGTGGAACAACCTGCCTCCAGAAGCGTGAATGCTCCAATACTGGAAGTTTTTAAGAAGAGACTGGACAGCCATTTGTCTGAAATGGTATAGGGTTTCCTGCCTGAGCAGGGGGTTGGACTAGATGACCTCCAAGGTCCCTTCCAACTTTATTATTATTATTATTATTATTATTATTATTATTATTATTATTATTATTATTATTATTATTATTATTATTATCTATCCCATGCATTGTGTTAAGATGTGATATTTTGATCACATGGCTATGGCTGCCATCTTGACTTTTTTGATATAACTAACGACTATCAATTTTTACTGTTGAAAATTGTTATTATGTACTGGTACGCATGAGAAAGCAAATTCCCTGAAAAGATTTTTTTTTTCTTGTTACCATATCATTGTATAAAAATATTTCAACCCAGGAATTACATATTCCATGTGAACCTCAGTATGACAATGCAGAGGTTATAAAGAAAACTTTGCAATATGGAGGAAGCTTGGTCTATAATTAACCTGGATGTAAGAAAATGTAGTTTTGATTTTAAAAAGAAGCAATGGTTACTGGCATTCTCAGCATGCCTTGACTTTCCGGATAGGATTTCTCCATAATGTTTTTCCCTAATGCAAGTGCATATTGTATACCTGTCTGGCTAAGTTAAACTCATAAAACTAAAATGTGAGCAATACAATATTTAGTTTTATTAAGAGTTTGAAGTTTACCCCTTCTAATAAATTTGTTTGCATGTTTTGCTTAAAAGGGATGCAAATAGCTTTCATTGTAATGTAATAACTTAGTTAATTCTTTTACCAAGATCATTAGCAATTAAAATATAAATAAATAATAAATATATTAAAAGGGATAAAACAGTGCAATTATTTTATAAAGTGTGTTCGGAAATCCTCCTGTAGCACATTAACCACATTTCTACAACTTTTTACCTGGGAAAGGCCATCTGAACTCAACTGAACTTATTTCTGAATGAATATTAGGATTGCCCAGTAAAAAATTACTTGTCTAACCATATTAAGCCAATCAAGCTCTTTGACAAGAACCACCATTGTTAAAACTTACTGATTGTACTCTGTTGCATAAGCACTGATCAATGTACTTTCAGTGCTTGCACAAGTGAATTTATGGAATGAGGGCAATAGAAGAAGGGGACGACAGAGAATGAGGTGATTGGATGGAGTCACTGAAACAGTAGGTGTGAGCTTAAATGGACTCCAGAAGATGATAGAGGACAGGAAGGCCTGGAGGAATATTGCCCATGGGGTCACGATGGGTCGGACATGACTTCGCAACTAACAACAAAGTGCAAAATGGTGTAAATGCTTATCTGTGTTCCTTTAGGCATTTTACAAGCATCTCATCCAAAGTATTTGGGGCTCCGAATGAAAGAATTGTGGTTAGAAGTAGATAGGGCGGGGAAAATGAACTGCTTTGTTGGAACAGCTTGTACACAGATAGGACTTCATGGAAGAGGAAATAAGAGCATGAAGCAACCATGCTCACCATTCTACCACTTCCTCTTGCTGTCTTCTTTTCCTTTGTGTTGATATCTTCCTCATTTTTTTCTAAGTTCATATGTGAAGCAAGGCCTTTAACACACAGCTTGCACGATATAATTTACAGTACCTCGGGTGGTTTGAAACCGTGAAACCATGTATTCTTTCTTGAACAAAGTTAGTGAAAAGAGAGAGATTGCCTTTAAACAAGAGTCCTCGGATTAATTAGATTAAGCATGTGAAAAGCTTAGAAAATTTTAAGAAGCTCATATTTTACATGTCAATTGAGAAATTAATTATTCCTGGTTTATTGTGCATAGGACTGCAGCCTGAAGCACTGAATAGATGCAGAAATATTCTATTCTGTTAGCAAATGGTAGCACTTTAAATGATTCTCCACAGCCAAATATTTCTCCAAAACCAATGATCATCTTGAATCTGTCCATTTATTCCCCATGTTATGTGATGCTATTTATTTAATCTGTATGTCACCCAATCCAGAGGTCTTTAAACTTCTGTGGAAACTCATAAAAGTGGGTCTGAAGATATGAGATATGCTTGTAATCTCATCCATCTTGCATGCTAATGTTCTCTAAACAGGCCATTTCTTGTTTTACAGAAGGACAGCCATAGGAAAAGTCTTTTGATTCAAACAAACATGGCCACATTGTTTTCTTGACAAGAGCATAGAAGTGGCTTCTTCTGCTTCATTGCCTTCTTCCCCTACATATCTTTAAATGTCTCAGTCATGTCTACATCCCTGGAATTCTCTGGAGGTCTCTCATCTAAGAATTACCCAGACAGACCTTGACTTCGCTTCCCAGACCAAACTAAATTGACCAGGTGCTGCCACCTGCTGAAGATGGTCTTATTTCTCTATCTCCAAGATATGGAGGATAAGTGGCAAGATATTGTACAGTGCCCTGATAAATTAATAACAGTAGAATAAACCTGCAGCAGTTACATAGCTTTATGTGTAATTCCAATTGGCGTAACCATCATTAAGAGTTACATCATAGCGGTTACACACAACCCTCCCCTTTCAAGTATGTACTTTTGCCACCTGGTTCCCAATTCTTGTATTGCACAGTTTGCTGAATATCACATTCTTTGTACTTGATAAGAACTTTTGTTTGGCACAAAATGGCTCATTATTCAATGGGACTCAAAGAAGCATTTAGTATAAATCAGTTATAAGAGTGTCAAGTTTCACAGTTTGATACAAATTCCCTGAAAAACCCTTGATTTTAGTTCCTAAGTTTCACATTCACCATATGTTTTATTTATTATTATCTTGTTCTGGGGTTTCAGCCTGACAAAGAATATACAGTAGTCAAGTCAGCATTCTTAAGAGTAGTTATTTTGTCATGAGCAATTGGCTTCACCTGAAGGTGATGACTGCTGCCATTTTCTGTTCTTAAACTCTCTTTTGGGAAATGATTTTTATAGC